AACCCTTCATTAGACCCTTACTGACATTAAATCAGAATTATGGAAAAGTATGTCATGCTCCTATAATGTGGTAAAACATTGTGTGCTTGTTTTTATACTTGTCCTACATAAAGACCAAAAAGGCTAAATATGTAAACCTCATACATAACCTCACATCTGTGGTGTATGTATAGTTTCTAGATAAGCATATCATAGTGCTAATAGCTGGAAATGATACTCAAATTAACTCTCAAACAACATGCAGCCTTTATCTGTGCAGTGCAATAAAAAAAAAAATGCTGCAGTTGTCTGTAAGGACGACTATTAATGCATGACGCAAAATATCAATCGGTATATGCTTTTGTTTGTGAAGAAAGAGGATTTCCATGATGCAAATCTTTCATGACTCCTCCTTATTTATGGATGTGCACATACACAGGCTAATTATGCTGCATATTTAGTGCACAGTTAAGAGCAAACATTAAACATCATGACTGGGTGGATACTGTTGCTGCTCTTTTCTGCAACACCAAGTATGTTATCAGGAAATTCTACAACGCTGCTATTAATTTTCATACTTAACATGGTTTTGAACTCATATGCTTCTTTCTCCAGGTGTCTACAGTATTGAACTCACTCAGCCAGATTCTAAAGAACTAAAGCCTGGCCAACCTTTGAGTCTCTCCTGTAAAGTCTCAGGCTATTCACTGTCTAGCTGTAGCTACTGCACAAACTGGATACGACAAGCTTCTGGAGGACTGGAGCGGATTAGAAGAGTTTGCTGCAATGGAGACACATACTAAAAAACACACGCTCCGTGTCCTGTCTTAGTCTTAGTTATACCATGAAATCAGATGTTATGCTGAAATATGCAGTGCAGCTGAAGTTACATTTACATTTACATTTTTCAGTGTCCACAGCTCAAAAAAGAACTTCAGGGAGCATATCACATATCACTGAATATTGTGAATGTATTGTTAAATATAAACTATATTATACATACCCCCACCCATTTTTTTTTTTTTTTTACTTATTAATAATAATATTTTAAAATCTTTATAGGCAATTTTCTAAAAATTAATTTACTTTAATAATAATTTAATTATAATTAGCCTATATCATTAGAAAACAGACTCTCTATTTTCATTAAGAGTTAAAAAAATCCCTATGTTTCAGGGTCACAACATAAAAGTTCTTTATTGGCATCAGTGGTTCCATGAAGAACCTATAACATCCACGGAACCTTACCACTCCACAAAAGGCTCTTTATTAGTAAGAATAAGGTTCTTTAGATAAAATGTTCACTGAAATGTTCTTTGGAGAACAAAAAATGGTTCTTCTATGGCATTACTGTGAAAACCCAGTTTAAAACCCAGTTTTGCAACCTTTATTTTTTAAGAGTGAGCCATTTAAAATATTCCTAGCCTATTGAATTTTGTTTATTAATTATGGGTTTGACATAATTAAACTAAAGGCAAAACAAAAACTAATGCATGTGATTATATAGATTTGTTGTTTCATATTTAACCAGTGGGTATGAACCATTTTATCTGATCACAAGAGGGATGGTCGAACTGCTTCTTCAATCTGTTCTAAAAACTACAACATGTTCTCTGCAGTTTTAGTCTTGCTTAGTCTAGGTTTTTCGGAACATACATTATTAACATACAATTTTCTTGCCGATTTATGACACTTGTTAATAATCACTGATCTGAATGCCCTTTTGTATTTCTTTTATTTTTTCCAACAGGTATTACAGAACATAGCTCTGTATGATTATGTAAATCTCCTGTTGCATATTTAAACAGCAGGCATGAGTCAATTTATATATTCATCTGATCACTAGAGGGAGTGAAGAATCGCTTCAGTTCATTCAAACTGTGCTGTGAAACAAACCATGATCTCTTCATCTTTAGTGCTGCTTCTGGCAGTGATATCCTGTAAGTTTAGTCTGCTTTCTGTGTGATACATCATTTTGTTGCTAAAAAGCTCGTTAATTGTTTCATGCTCTCTTATGAACTGGTATTATTTGATTTGATACAGGTATTGATTCATATGAACTCACTCAGCCTGAGTCTCTGACTGTCCGTCCTGATGCCACTCTCACTATCAACTGTAAAGTCTCCTATTCAGTTACTGACTATAGTACAGCCTGGATTCGTCAGCCTGCAGGAAAAGCTCTGGAGTGGATTGGAGTCATCTGGCATAGTGGAAGCTTATACTACAAGGATTCCCTGAAAAGCAAGTTCAGTATCAGCAGAGACACTTCCAGTAACACAATAACACTGCAAGGAAAGAATATGCAAGCTGAAGACACAGCTGTGTATTATTGTGCCAGA